AGTACTGTAGAAGGGGTCGAATATGACATACAGTGGGGTGATGGTAGTTTGAAGTGAGAAGTCAACTGCCAGTTAATAGACTTTTTTGCCGTATGAATATACGTTGCCTAGGGTGCACCACGTGGAGGTAAGTCTATCGCACACCCCTGATATAATAATAATAATAATAATGTGTTCGCAGGAATTCAATAATTGATCAAGTAGTACATCGGAGATGATGATTGCATATTCACCGCAAGTGATATGGAAAATGTTAAATAACCTTATCAAATTGCCATGACATAACTGATAATGAATTTCCCATATTTATTTCTAACTTAACAGTATGTTCGATACAAGATTTTAGGGAACGTAAATAATCAAATAATTCCGACATATTTGGCACCACTATCATGCAAGCATTCTCGACAACATGTTTCTAATTTGAACCATTTGAGCCACCTTAAGATGGCCTTAGTTGCCTAAAATTGGGTACAATTAGTTAACTACCTAGATGTTTAGTGCCTAAATGAGACTAAATAAATAATAAATATGCGCGAATTTGAAATACAGGAGTGACTAGAATCAACAGCCAAGTTAGTTCATTCAATTTTGTAAAGCATAATCGCCGCTTTTATGAAATTCGACTGATGCTAGAACTTAGCCACACCTTTATCGAATTTCTACAACAAGGTGTGACTTATGCTGAGTACTTACTGTGGTAGGATCTCCACAACAATATAGGGGATGCAGATATATGGTGTTCAATGCGTTTATTTGAGTTATGCTTGCCAAAGGGCTTAGTCATTAAAATGCAGTGAAGGATTTGTTAAGAAATGCAAGGACTATTGATTGACGACTGGTTGAGAGAGGTCCCTCCGCTCACGATCACACTTGCTCCCAACCACGACAAATGGCACGTCTGCACCTTTGAGCCCGTCTGCATGCGCATGAGATCTCTCAGTTTAACCATGACAGCCTTGTACCCACCACATACTTGCATTGACCTGTCTGACGCAGGTTATCTCAATTTAAGCGTTCTTAAAATTCGATCTAATTTCTCACCATAGACAATTTTATACATATTATTTGTCCATTTCGAGACAAATCATCGATAATACAACTTTTAATTTAAATTTTTTCACACTCACCAATCCATAAAGTGATAAGGTCAGTAGTTCCTTTCCTGTCATGGTTTGTCAGTTTCTCTTTTTATATTTTAAAATTCCATATGAAGACTGCGTTTAATGTAGACTTTTAATGATTCAGTCCAAAGTCACTAGATAGAGTCACATTTCATAAACAGTTTTAACCTGGTGACCTTATCCAAATGGCACTCAAGGTAAGCGAACTCCATGTCCTATGAACATTCGCACTAAGGTAATTCCACTGTGATAAATTTAACACAGATCTACGAACATTTTTATCACTTCCTGATAGAGATTTTTCAAAAATGGAACGAAATAGCTCCAAATAGTTACGACTTTGAAACCCATGGAGTGAATATAACAGGTATTGAGTTTGACTTAAGTTAGCCTCTAAGAGAGTTATGGATCAAAAAACTGAGTAATTTAAATACTAATATAGGAGAATTAATTGATATTAGAACTAATCTAATCATTAACAATCCATATTGCTATAAAACTGGAAAATGCATTAAAATTTAATATGTTTTAATTAGTATAAAGTCAAAATAAGTGTATTTTTAAATATAATACACGTTTATTTTTAATTTATTTTATAAATCCAGCGAATTGCAAGGAAGCCATGCTAAGTCGTAATAATAGGATTAAACAAAAGAATGTAAGAAAGATAAAATAAACTGCATTCATACACTTTGTGACGACTGACTTTGGTTTTCGCTCCACTTCGTCGTGCTGTTTATCTTCTGATAGGCCCTTATTCGCAGGCTTCTTATGACGCTTTCTTACTTCGGTTTCAGTTCTGTCTGAAGCCGTAGTGGTCTTCTTCTGCTCAGCCAAACGAGTGGGTGACTCCTTATTTTGAACCAGACTTTCGAGTTCATTGATCCAGGATTTCACTAACTTTTCATCAAATTGCGTATCATAAACATCACCATCATCTAGTTCGTTTTCAATTTTCTCGCAAAATTTTCGAACTCTGACATCGGTATTGTTTGCATTCTCCAACAGAAGTCGGTATAAAGTATTGCGGGTATCCATTTATACTTCTGGCGCTAAATAAATGTCTGCTGCTATTGCTGAGGTCTAATAGTTTTCACTCCACAATGACCTTGATTTCACACATTTGAGTGTATCGTGAAATTGTGTGCACCTATCCAAATGCACTCTATTCACCATTGGTTGGCTTTTGAAGTGGAATTAAGCAATTGGTTGACGATTTTATCTCGTTGCCTTTATACAAATAGGCTCAATTGGTTGTATTTCTGTATTTTTGTAAGAATAATGGCATAAATGAATTAAATAGCAATTGAACAAAGTTTTAAGAACTCGATTTCAGGTGTTAACATCGTTAGAGACGTGTTACTGGCATATTAATAACGTCGTTCTTTTAAGACTATTGAACTAAAACTACATAATTAGTTAATTCTCCCATTAGAAATTCAATTTGGAAAAGATAAAATGCAGCCCTGCATCAGCATCGGTTCTATCAGCTCGCCGAGGTTGGTTCCGGGAGCATGGCATGCTGTCATATTCGCAGGAAGATAATGCATCCGTAAATGCCTCCAGATTGAGTCGTCTAGATGGGTTTCGCTGACAGAGGATAGCATGTGGCGAAGGAGCTCAAAAGGTTTGGGATTCTCCCAATTGAATAGTGAGACAAACTGTTGAAGACTTTTCTCTTGAGAAACAGATAGGTGAGTGGTAACAGATCTTTTGAGTATGTCGTAGCTGGTGTCTCTGACTCCTTGTTGAGGATGGCGAAGACCAATGACGTGACATGGGCTGAAACAGCGTTATCTGATTGGTAACGCTCAGTAGTTTGAGAACATTTTCCAGTTGAACATACCAGATATGGGTGTTTGCTGGATCGCGGGTGTCATAGTTGGGAGGGGGGTAACCAATGCATTCCAAGGACATTCTGTAGCAGTGGAAGAGAGCGAATTGGGTGGGTTGACAAATTGGTGATAGCTGTTAAAGTCAGTGACAGAGAGAGATTGTGTCCCCACTGAACAAATCACATCTTGATCAACAATTATGGAGCGATTCGAGTCAATAGCCAAGCTTGACTTATGTTGAGTAATCTCTATGCTAAAATCCCTTAGTCTTAAATGGCTTCCGGGATTAGCTAACCTACCTCATCAAGAGAGAGGAAACAGGCGTATGGAGTGGAACACGTTTAATTGGGTTGTGTGTAACTGATAAGGAGCTTAGTCATTAAATAGAATTTAGGCTACTTTGACCACGGCTTGTCTGTTGATTGTTGACTGGCTGAGGGGTATCTACACTCTTGACCTCATTTGACCCATAATACAATTCTCATCACGGTCGCTGCTCCTTCCGGAATGTTTTAGCTCGCGTGGAATTCTTCAGACCAGCAATGTTAGCGTTGTATTTTCCCCAATACTCGCAAATCTACCAGGCCAAAATTATTGGTATCATTTGTAGTTATTAATTAGCTTTGAAAGAGTTTTGTTAATATTTAAGTGAATCAGTTGCAGACCCTTCGTAATAACATTTGTCAGATGGAAAGAGAATTTGAAGTTGCTCATTACCGCCGTGAAATAAAAATAATCTCACAATTATATTGTGCTCAAAAATGTTTGAGTTAATTACGTCAATTTTGTTCAGCTTATTTATTTCAAATTGCAGGCATTGTGATAGTTGACAGGGGGGGGGGGGAACATCAAAGCCACAAAAAGTGGAGAGGGAGGAACAGAAGAGTGATTCACAGATGCAAAAGTGACAGACGGACACAAAGGTGGAGAGTAGGGTAAGGTGAGTACGGTACAAGTGGTGGAATATGGCATACAGTGGGGCCATTGTAGTTCGAGGTCAGAAGTCAAATGCTGGTATATGGACTTTTTGCCGTACGCGTATGCGTTGCCAAGGCCGCACCAAGTGGAGGTAAGTCTCTCACACACACTCCAATTTTGCTTAATTTGAGGTACAGAATCCAGGACATTGGGTTGTAATTGCATTAAATAATTATTGGGAAAAAATCGTTATACTAACAATGAAAGTAATCCCAACTTTTCCTTATTAATAAATTGAGCCCAAAATTAAATAATTTCTACTCAATTTATCGTTACTGAATTATCCATCTGTTCGCATTCTATTGGTCCACTCATTGGACAAATTACTCTCCAAAATTTCATCCAATGAAACAGCACTCTGCCAATATAAATGAGTCAAAAGATTATTCCAAAAAATGCTTAATTTATTACTGTAAGTTGAATATAGTTACGTTAAAAGAGAAGCTAGATTTATTGATATCTTGATTTCTGTCTTTGCTGATAATAATCTTTTAATATGACCTCAGGAAGCTTTGTGTCACCGATGAATAACTCTCAAAATGGATTATTCAGCTTGTCAAATTCTACAGGCAGTACCTCATCTCCGTCTGAGTATTGGCTTCTCAAACATTCTCAAGGTGCACACGGGATTTATCCAAGTCCAAGTTTAACCGGTTGGATATCAGAAATGCCGATTTCACCGCCGAATAACGATGAAAGTTCAACAAGATTCTCCGAATTATTTCTTAGGATGCTTGTAAGTTCCCATATACTCTTCATTGAAACCAATTTTGGGTAAGATGAGTTGAACTGCAGTTGAAGCAACCAAATGAATATTAAATGATATGAGCAGTTCGAATGAGATTAGGACTAAATAAAATTTTACCATTGACTCTAATGTAACCAATATTTCATTTTATTTAAAGAAAAAATCGAAATACTTATTTTAGTCGATTACAGCAGTACGTTTAAACAAACTTGTACTCATATACTCTTTTAGTCCATTCGATTTCACTTTTACGTTCGAGTGCAATTTAAACTAATTTGTATTGGCATTTAGTAGTAAGAAATTCCTCATTCTTGAAAAAAATACTGAATCCTCTTTTATTTGTAATTGGCTATAAGGCAAAGATTATTCCTTCCTTACGCCTATCATTGGGTAAGCACAATCTCTCAGTAATAAATTGAAGTTGCGTAAAATATCTGCCTAAACGGCTAGTCGTTATTAGTAATCTCTTTAAACCGATCAAATAAGCTCACTCACATTGCTTACTCAGGTACATTCTTGGTGGTTTTAATGTGGTACTGTGGTGGACCTATACCTGCCCAGAGCTTTAGCCAAACTGCTTAACACTATTTAGAAGCCGAAAGCGTCAAAGCGTCCCAAATTGTCCTTCAAAGATGATTAGTCATTGGTTATTTTAATCTATCACAAATCGTATATCCTAGCAACTGCATATAAAGAAAATTTACTTTTGAACTCGAACAATAACTAATCAGAGAAATGAGAGCTTACTCCAACTGTCTGGTAAAGATGGAAATTAATGTGCCTTATATTTACCGAAGGACTTTAAACAATAGAAGACAACAGATGGGTTGCAATATTTGCTGAAATGGGAAAAAAATACTCCATGCAGAAAAAAAAGTTTCCTCGGTCTTTCAACTTTGTTCTTCCTTGAGTTTATTTATAAGATTTAGCGTGCAGGTGGGGGCGTTGAAATTGTTATTTGTGCCCTTTCCTATAATTTCTAACAAATGTTTACTTATCAGCTTTTTTACTTCAAATATTATAGCGAATTAATTAACTAAAGACATACGATTTCATGACATTTTGTTATTTTTAATTTCCCCAGAGTTTAGATTAAAGCAAAACTAATACCTATATTGGAAGGGTGCTTTTTGGAGTCTAGACTAAGTCACGTTGTAGAAATGATAATTCATTTTGCAGTATGAAGTATTGGATTCCACGTGGACAAGCAGAAAATGCCACGATTTTACCCATGGAAACGTGGGATGTAGGGGGAAACCTAAAATGGCTCTAATCAAAAGTAAATCTACTTTGCCAGCCTGGCCAAATTAGTCAAAGTCTCCCTCCCCTCCTTTAACTACCATGGCGATAGAGAGAAGGGTAGAAGTTGGAAATTGAGAGAGAGGAGGTGACAGTACTGAAAGAGGACATTCCAGATTGTAAAAATGACATGTGAAATGAAGTAGAAGCAAATAGTTGACCAATCTGACAGCCAAGGTAAAGGGTAAGGGTTAGAAAGCGTGCAGTACCTCTTGAGAATGAATCTGTGTGTTGAAGGACTAACACTCCATTCAGGGTTTGTGAATTCGCACTGAATATGTAATTACCTGAAGTACAAGTTGAATAACAGCCTCGCAAGCCATAATTTAGTTTCATCTTCAATTATTGAGTTAGAACGATGTCGCCCTCCTTTATTTGATGTAAGGCCCGGAATAAGCTATGCGGAACATTCCTGTTTTACGGAAGAAACAAATCATATCATTCGCACTGAAACGGTGAAAGTTGGCAATTGGGGAGTATCTATGAAGCATACTATAAGCGCTTACAGCTGTTAACTTGGTATTTGGTTTCTAGCAGAAACCCTGGTATGTCATAAGGCTCATTCCAGATCCACACATCTACCAGCTACGAAGGGAAATATACTACAAGATCTGTCGACTTTGGTTGGTGCAATGAGTTTTACGAGGAATAAGTGAGGTGCACGCTGAGTTCTACATTTAAGACCAGTTAGAATATCATAACTAGTATGGGGAAGGTTTCATTCTTCTGAGACATGAAAATCACAAAGGCTCACTTCAATCACCATTAATATTTATTTATTTCAAATGGCAGGCGTTTTGATAGCTATCATTAGCCATTTAGCTGACTTCGGGCTTCACAGAGAGAAGGTTCATCAAAGTAACAGAAAGTCGAGGGGTGGGGAACAGAAGAGCGATTCACAGATGAAAAAGAGGCAGACAGACACAAAGGTAGAGAAAAAGGTAAGATGAGTACTGTGAAGGGGTCGAATATGAAAAACAGTCGGGCCATAGAAATTTGAAGTCAGAAGTCAACTGCCCATTGATAGACTTTTTTTCCGTATGAGTATACGTTGCCCAGGGTGCACCACGTGGAGGAAAGTCTATCGCACACCCCTCACCATTAATATAATATTTAAAT